AATAATGAGTTCATCCAATCTGATTGCCTGACTATTCACGCTCCATATAAATTATTTATTCTTTCCTTTTTATACGTAATTATCATTTTTTTAAATATTCTTAATAAGTTTATACAAATAATATTATGTAACTTCTTGTTTAATTTCTACTAGGAATCCTAATCCTGGAGTAATCATCAATAAGGTATATTATATATTATATATACAAGCATTAAGGGATTTGTTAAAATTATGATTTTTTTTAACATAGCATTAACAAATAATTGATAGTCCACCACACTAATCACACCTGACACACAGTAGCTTAAATGTACTTCAGGATGTTGCTGAGTCGCTGCTCAGGGACGTACTGCATGGATAACTATAATAGGACACTCTGAATTGTTTAATTCTTATATATATTACATAACAATACATTGTAATTTTAAATTTTAAGAATTTCATTTATGATCTTGAGAGTTCAACGAACATATTATAATWTTATTTTAATTTGCTGAATAATTTGCATTTATTTTTGATGTTATAGGTTGGAGGTCCAAATGTTTACAAAGGGGTTTTGAAAGACTATACCAAAGATGTAAATACCATTGCTTTGTATTATTGATATGATTTGGTTATATTATTAACTTTACATCCTTAAAATCATGAATCAAAAGTGCTTCCTTTACCAAAGAATCAATAAATCATTTTCCCTTTTCAATATTTTGGTGAGCAATATTCCAGATTGATTAGATCATATGAACTTGCAAAAGCACACATATGCAATGTGTATATATGATTATATTTTAATACTATCAGACAATATAATTTTAATTATAAGAATTTAATTTCAACAAATTTAGAATTTCTTGTTTTCCAGGAAGTGACACCAAAGGTTTTCTTAGATGTTCTTCAAGGCAAAACACCAATGAAAAATAATGCTCCTGTTGGTTCTGGCAAAGTGATTGACAGGTAGATAGTAGGGCTAGAAATTGTGAGGCTTCAGGGCTCCAGACCCATAATTGCAGTACATGATATAATTTGCAATTATATACTGTCATTCTGTAGGAGCATGACTAAAAAAATCAGCATCTCTCCCTACCAAACAAACCCAGGCACATATTAACTGAAGATCAATATTAAGTCCAGAAAAAATATTTGTTAAATA